AGGTAGGTCGGTAGGTAGGTAGGTAGGTAGGTAGGTAGGCAGGTAGGCAGGTAGGCAGGTCGGTAGGTAGGTAGGTAGGTAGGTAGGTAGGCAGGTAGGCAGGTAGGCAGGTAGGCAGGTAGGCAGGTAGGTGGGTATGTAAGGGGTCATGCACGCATGCATGCGCGCACGCATGTGCTGGCACTCGTTAGATCGAGCTAGTCCCTAAACCCCAGTAAGCCCTAGAAGTTAAACCCAAAAAGCTACACTCAACCCTTAACCCTTAACCCCTACCTGGGCCGAGGACTTCATGCACTTTCTCATGGCGTTTCAAGTGGTCGACGTCTGCTTCGCTCATCGCTCCTGGCACAGCCGAAGCTTTCAGATCTTCGCCGGCAAGCCTTGGATACAGGGCTTTAGAGCTTTAGGGCTTTAGGTTTAGGATTTAGGGTTTAGGGTTTAGGGTTTAGGGGTTTAGGGTTTAGGGGTTTAGGGTTTAGGGTTTAGGGCTTCAGGATGGAGCTTGAAGGCTCTAGGGCTGGAGGGTCTTAGGGCTCACACCGTTGTTTTTGGAAATGGGGTCCCTTCGTTGTTCAGGATCTGATTTTTCGGGGGGTTTGTAGCCCTAAGCCCTAAACCCTGAACCTTGCTATGCTGCAGTTTGTCCGAGTCTCTGCAGGGCGTCATGTGCTGGCTTGATCAAATCAAAGAGGTATTGCAGGATCGTTGCAGCCGCCGCCCAAAAACCCGAAACCCTTAGCCTTAATTATCCTGAAACCCTAATCCAAAACCCCAAAACCCAATCCTGAAGATTACCTAATCAAAACACCCTAAACCCCAACCCCTAAACCCTTAAACCCTAACCCCTAAACCCTAAACCCACATTAAAAAAACCTAAACCCCTAAACCCCAACCCTAAACCCTCAACCGCCGCAGCCAGGAATTTCTTCTGCGCGAAGTCCGATGAAAGCAGGCCGGGAGCTTCGTGGGACCAAAAGAGTCGCTGTTTCGTAGCTCGAAGCACTGGGTGTAGGTTTGGGTTTACGGGTTTAGGGTTTACGGTTCAGGGTTTAGGGTTTGGGGTTTGGGGTTTAGGTTAGGCTTTACTCTTCGGGGTCAGGGTCTAGGTTAGGCATGAGGCTTTAGGGTACCATCGCCTAGCCAGGTATTACTTGCCTTTGGACCATCGCCTATTGATTTTGTATGGGGTGCGAACCTTAAACCCTAAACCCTAAACCCTAAACCTAATGTGGACCCATTCAGAGAAGCCCAGCGATTCCGCCAGGCTCTGCAGATTTGCCTACATCATCGAGGTTGCTGAGGCGCTCGAGCTGTAAATTTGAGAGCCTGCATGGGCTTTGGTAGGATTTTCCTAAGGGTCCAAGTGCCGAAGAATCTTATAACTACCCTCTTGCATGCATACGGACCTATAAAGCTGATATCCTAAACCGAAGTACCTAATTATCAGGGTCTTTGGGCACCCCCGATGGTTTAAAGTTTAGGTGCAAGGTTAAGGGTGGAGGACTCTGGGGCTTAGCGTTCAAGTTTTCATAGTGTTGATGGACAAAATTCTGCATGACCCAAATATAGTATAGTACCATAAATCCCATAGTTTAGGTATATAAGGTCATGCAGGATTTTGTCCATCAGCCGTAGTGTAGAGCGCTTTGTAGGGCCTCGGATATTGGTTTTCAGCGGGTCGGGGCTCTGATGCTGGGCGTGTTGATTCTTGAGTCATCGTTTGACTTATGGCTTGGGTTTAGGCTTTATAATCCTAAACCCTAAACCCTAAACCCTAAACCCGGTTTAGGTCATATTGTGGGTTGTTGAAGTTTGGGATCGTGTCTTTGCGTTTCTGATGCAGGTTTGCGCTATTACTAAAACCCGAGATATGCCCTGCACAGCCTTCAAATTCTACATCGCCCCGGTACAACCCTCATAAATTCCCGACAGAACCTTTGTAAAACCCTATGAAACCCCATATTACGGAACAGTTGATGAAGCCCTTGTACAACCCTACAAAGCGATTGACAAAAAGCAGCTACAAGACGATTATGCAGATAGAAGTCTAAAGAAGCACCTAAGCCCTAAACCCCAAACCCCAAACCCTAAACCCTAAACCCTAAACCCTAAGCCCTAAACCCTAAACTCGAAATGACACAAAAGTGCCGGCCACCCAGAGCCCAAAGCCTTTCTGGAGTCGAGGCCTCGAGCCTCTGCATCTCCGCTCTTCAGCCAACGTTGCTGGGCTGCTGACGAGTTTTGGATTTGGGCGGTGTCCTTAAGTGGGCCGAATATATTTCTGATATATATATATATACATACATACATACATACATACATACATACATGCATGCATACATACATACTTCAGGGTTCAAGCAGGGCTTTATGCGTCTTTCCTGGAGCTTTGAGATTCCACGGCAGCCGGTGAGTGTAGGTTTAGGGTTTAGGTGTTTGCCACGTACTTGCGCCCTTATAGGTTTAGATAGGGTTTAGGGTTTAGGGTTTAGGGTTTAGGGAGGTTGGGCGTCTTGAGAGTTTCGAGGGGTGTTCGCAAAGCTCAGTGCTTCTCAGGGCTGTAGGAGTCACGGGGGTTAGGGTGTTCTGAAAGTGTAAGGGTGCTGGACTTACCCTAAACCCAAAACCCTAAGCCCTAATCTCTAAGCCTTGAGAACCCTAAGCCCGGCACTGTAAACTTCGGGGTTCGCAGGCCATGTAAGGTCCGCGGGCTTGAGTTCAGGCTTTTGGAGACAGGTTTTTAGGGTTTTAGTGAGTTTGCTGTGCACACTGTTCTTTGTGACAGCAGGAAGACTCGTCTAGAAACACGGAGCAGCACGGTAAACCCTGATTCGTGCAAATAACAAGCTTGATTTTCTGTTGTCAGCCTACAGGAAGCGCGGTACCTTTGCACGAGACGACCGGAAGCGATTCTACCAGCCAGGCGGCGAGTTCATAACACAAGGGCCTCAATCATTACCAATACTGACTACTTTGGGGTTCCTTCTTAGACGTAATTATAGTAAAATGTACTCCCAAACCCTATCCTAATCAAGGCCGCCAAAGAAGGCCCCCGATAACGTGCTAACGTGCTGTTTGGCCTTCGCAGTCTCAACTTGCTTTTGATTTGGCTAGCAGGTCTACTTAGAGGCCCAGGGGACTTAGTAAGTAGGTTATAAGTCGAGTTATAAGTACCCTAAATGGAGTTATCCCAATTATAAAACCACTTATAACCGACTTACTAAGTCCCCTGGGCTTCCAAGTAGGGTTCACCTTAACCCCAAATCGAGCTTTTCTGAGGCTCGGCTTCGGCCGTTTTAGGAAGTTGATGGACATGAGTCCTAAAACTCCCCTCTAGAGCCCCTCCAAATCAACTCTCTAGATTTTGGGGCTTTGGAGATTCTTGGAACCACAAACCCGGACAATATAGGGGCCTAAATGATTACCACTACTGTTCTTAGGGCTCAGTGTTAGAATTCTAGTATAACATACCCCCAAAACCCTATTCTAATTAGTAAGGGCACTAATATACTAAACCCACAAGAAAACGGCATCGTCCCAAGAATCCGGAAGCCCTAGATGCCAGCAGGGGCCCCGACCTTCCAGCATCCCTCAATTAGATCTACCCGGGATCTTACTATACGCTTAAGGTACCCTAAGTCCTAAACCCCAAACTCTAGGGCTCCAGCTACCTAACTGGTAACTTACCTTAGCCCTATAAAACCTTGCTTCTTAGGGGTTCCTTATCATGATTTCTTTATATAAGTCCTTAAAAGGGTAGGTTCTTTGGGGTCCAGGCAAGGTATATTCCCCTAGGGGACTCCAGTAACCTGAATGGTAGGTTACTGGGGTATAGAAAATAGGGTTCGTGACCTACGATGTAGGCAACTGGAGCCCTAGGCTTCCTCACCATGATTTAAAGCTATATATTTTTTGATGTGTTATAGTAAATGTCAGATATTATAGTATACTATTATTATTATTTATTATAATTATTGTTACTTATTATTATTATTACTACTATTATTATTATTGTTATTATTTTGTATCATTATTATATATTATGGTATATTCCACATTTGAGTGGTACTGGAAGATCGGCGCAGGTGACTTGAGCCTGTTGCTCCTTGAGCTCAGCAGTTCGGAGCAGCGGCCTGAGCTTAAGCGCGGTTCAGGGTTTAGGGGTTTAGGGGTTTAGCATTTAGGGTTTAGAGTTTAGGATTTAGGGTTTAGAGTTTAGGGTTTAGGGTTTAGGGTGTAGGGGTTGGTTTAGGGGTTTAGGGGTTTAGGGTTTAGGGTTAGAGGGTCAGACCCTGCGCTCTTCTGTTGGAGTACCTATACTTGTTCGATATAAGAAAGAAAGTTAAAGGGGTACGGTATGACCCTCTATGCAGGGATTTATGGAGTTAGTTGACAGATTTATATTGTTGCTATACTGATGCCATATGTTCCCCAAAAGCCATAAAGTAGATCAGCTTAGTAGAGTCCCCCTGATTCTGAAAGAGCCGACCTTTGATAGGAGCCTTTGCAAGCATTTCGGCATGAGAACAAGGCCATGATGTCTCCTACTGTGGTGAGCTGGATCGCAGCATTGGCTGAGACAGCTGTTCTGTGACTGTGATGCCTCCATTCAGATAGCTAGTGGAACATGTATGCCTTCTTCAGTCTTCGAGGTTGCTGGGTTGGCTGTGCGTGAGTTTGCTGGGTTGTTGGCCCTACCCAAGGGAGGCGAGAGCCGCATCTTGCCTCCCGCGCACCGCTGGCCGGGTGTGGGGCTGCCTTGCCGTCACCGAAGCTCTGGATGCCTTTTTGGCCAACGCGCATGCGGTTGACGCGCATGACAGCGGAGCAATGTGCCAAAGCGTCCGCTGGGGGCAGACAGACAGCGCATGCAGGTCGCAGGTGTCCCATGTGGACGGGCGTTTGCATGCCTCGGCATTGCTGGAAGGGGAGGCCACTTGTGCACGGCGTTCCGGCATCGGGCTAAGTCAGACCCATCATCGGTATCAATACAACACCATACGGCTTCCTATGGTTTGATGCAGTGTTTTCTGCTTAGTCAGTAACGTCCTCACATCAAACTTTGCCTTGGGAAGGATTGGCAGTTGCTCCTGCCGTTATTTGGTTACAAGGATTAGGGTGTATACTGTGTACTTCCCGTCAGTATAACCGGAGTCGTTGAGGCCGTCGTCGTCGTGGTCATTGCTGGTCGGTCCGACGACGCCGCCTTGTATAGTCACCGCCGTCACTGCCGCGCGGCGGTCGTGACAGAGGTGCTGTTCCGGTGCTTGTGCTTAAGTTCAACATTGAGGCTGGCGGACAAGAGGTCTGCCTCAACTCATTCAACCTCCCTCGCGCTCTGCCACCCTCCTCCTGCTCTTACGGCTCAAATTCCCGTGTCCGGCAAGCTGTTGCATTAAGGTCGGTGCAATGTTGTCGTCACGAAGCGATTCCATCTTGCCTCCTGCACACCGCTGGCCAGGTTCACAGCGTTGAATTGCCTTCGTGCAGGCTCTTGGCATTGCTGGAGAGGAAAGCCTTTCGTCGTGTCTCCATCTGAACACAACCAGGGTAGCATGATGTCACTGCAAGTGTCTCGCAGGATCGGCGCAGACAACTGTTATGCCATGCTTTCTGCTCCACATGTATGTTTCGTAGATATCGGGTTGCGATCATGCCATGACTGTGTTCTGTATGTGAGTTTGCTGGTTTGTTGGCCCTACCCAAGGGAGGCGAGAGCCGCATCTTGCCTCCGGGTGTGGGGCTGCCTTGCCGTCACCGAAGTCTCTGGATGCCTTTTTGGCCAACGCGCATGCGGTTGAGGCGCATGACAGCGGAGCAATGTGCCAAAGCGTCCGCTGGGGGCAAACAGACAGCGCATGCACAGTCGCATCTGGACCGGTGTCTGCATGCTTTTGGCATTGCTGGAAGGGAAGGCTTTTCGTCCTGTCTCTAACCAAGTCCAATCAAGGTGGCAAGATGTCACTGCACCGTCTTGGCTTGTAGCATGGATGCGACAGCTGTTCTGCCCTGCGTTTTGCTTCAGAACATTTGCCCGACGCGAGCTGCATGCGACCACACCACACACCCCCTGAGAGCCCCTGCACTTTTGACATTGCTGTCACTTGGAGGGTCGGGGGACTTAGTGAGTAGCCATTTAGGGAAATTTAGGCTACTTATAAGTCTACTTATAAACTGTCAGAGTTTCGTGCCACGGATTGCTTCTGCTCTGTGCTGCTGCCGAGCGGAGTTGGAAGTCCACGCCTGAAGCCCTCGACCCCATAATGCATAGGGGCCTATAAATAATTATCAATACTATTTTGGGAGTTCCTCAATATAGTTTTTGTTTCATGGGCCCCCAAAACCCTCTTCTAACTAGTCAGGCCCCTGTATTACCGCCAAATCCGAAGATCGTACCACGAAGCCCTTTTCAAAACCCCAAGCTCCCCGAGCCCCTAAGACCCGCCGGTGAGATGCTTGGGCAAAGGCCTGCAAGGCCCACCCGTGGGCACGCTATAAGCACAAAACTGCGGCTACTACTACTGCTACTAC